CTGATTCATTTTGGATCGGTTTTAAAATATGGTTTTTTTCACGTTTTTTATTCAAACTGGTGGTCATTTTCAAATTAAACTGTCAAACACCAAGCGGTCACCGGTGACCGCAACCTATTGTTCTATAATTGTGTCTATAATAACGGTACTCGACGAGTTAAATAAGCGACTATTTTTAAGTGACCTGATAATATATCTGATATAAAAATTATGACATTTATCTAAACATGAAAAGATTGTCTAACCAGCATCTTGCGTTCAAAAATCCCTATAAGCTTTTACTACTCAGCATAAAGGGTAAATAAAATGCAAAAACACACACATACAAAATAAAACAATGACAAACTAACATGGCACGATACGGCGCTCACTCGACATAAAATTAATACCTCTTTTGAGTTCGTCACGGTTAATATAAGGTCTAATATAAAACGTTTCTCAGTGGCGTAAACCATGAAGCAGGGAGCATAAAATAATTTCATACTTCACGGCAAGTTGGAGTTTAATCCACTTTTGAGAATGTGAACGTTTTCCGGCCTGAGGGGAATAACTTCGGTGAAATCAAAATACTTTCTGATGATTACTGTAATGTTCAGCTTTGAAGTATTTTTGGCACTTAACTAGATACTTATCTATTTTTTTTTTTAGTGATTAATTATAAATGTGGGAGAGCCATGTTTGGCCCATTGTTTTTTTATTTTATATTTAACGTATTTACAATAAGTACAGGATTATCCATTTTAAACTGTCAAACACCAAGCGGTCACCGGTGACCGCAACCTATTGTTCTATAATTGTGTCTATTATGACGGTACTCGACGAGTTAAATTAATAGCAACGAAAATCCACTAAGGTTGAAACTTGTGCTATCATGAATCAGCTTCGAAATCGATTTTTTATAAAATGAGGGTTTGCTATGTATCAACCACGGTTTCACAGAAAACTGACGTAAAACAACGCTTACATTGTGTTTCGTCAAATTGGTCAGGTATTATTAGAAAACCAGGTTTTTAAAGCTTTTATTTATTTTTTACTTTCCATTCTGGGTGTTCATGTCTACTTGGGGAACGACAAGCTTATTTCCTGTTTCTTGGGACAATTTGTAAAAACTGATAATACATTTAAGCCTTAGGCAACAAATATATAAAAACAAAAAATAACAAGGTTGATATAATTTATTGGAGTAAAAAAAAAATAAAAAGCCTTTGATTCTTCTATCCTCTATATATAGACCAAATTTTTAAAAAAGAACACATCCATGGCTTTTCCATGCTTTTTTATAAATTAATCTGAATAGCCTTTTCATGTCCAATGTAGCGAGCAAAATGAATTCAGATGAAAAATGATTTAATGGACGATGCGGCTTGCGGGGAATTTAATATCACTTGTATTTACGTTTTAATAAACGAGTCCACTGAGTCTGATCATAAATAGTCTATTTTTGATCTGATTCGAATCTCCTCTATGTAATGACCGAAACGAAAATATGTGTTCAAATTTTACGAACTTTCGGGATATTTTGATGTCCGTTTTCGCTAAGAGGATTATTATGACCTTTGGTATTGATATGAATGTCAAACCACATCGGCTACGAGTTGGCTACGGCGTAGCTTCACGTAGCTTATTGCTACGGAACCGCTACGGACGTCGTCATGCTTTTTTCAAGTTTACTTATGGATAGATTTTTCTTGTTGTTTCAACCATGTACACATTGTTATTATAACAACTATCGTGAGACATACTTAATTAACTAAAAATCGTGGGTTGCTCGCAGTGTGCGCGGTCGCAGCGAGATCAGTAGGCTGCGCAACATCGCCGCGATCGCGCACGCTGCTCATGAGAAAGAACCCCTCTGTGGTTCGAAACTAATAGAGCTTTTCTCAGTATATTCACGTGAGTAACCCGCAATTTTTAGTTAATTATGTACACATCATTTACAAACTTCTACTCGTACACCTCAAAGAAGTAGCTAAGAAAATATCAAAACTTACGCGCAAATATAAAAAGGATTCTTTCAATCCAAGTATTGTTCAAAGAACCTAAGAATAAACCAGTTACACATGTAACACTGAATTCTTTACATTATTTTCAGTAAAAACAGTGTGATAACAACGTATCAAGTCGGGGTTTGTACAAATCAAAACAAAACCGTCGGACCCTTTGTCAACAGCGCCGTGATACCACAAATACAAGATACGTAGTGTACCCGTACTTGATGCCACAGAGTAATGAGGTAATGGAGGCGTAGGATGAATAAAAAAGTAAGGCAATATTTTGCAGATTACCCGCATACTCGCAATAGTATAAATTGGGAATTCGATCTGGAATTTAATTCAAAAGTAACAATCACTAAAAATATATAAAATAGTCAAATATTAAGTGGAATAAATATTCTACATCACGTTTATGATGATGTGATATTTCTTTGTATGAAACAAGTAGAAATAAGTGGTACCTCTGTAATTATACCTGTGTACTGATAATTTTTATGGGATAACCGGTAAACGAGTAAATGAATCGTCTGATGGTAAGCAATTGGCGCCACCCATGGATAACTAAATACGAAAGAAAATGCAAGTTCGTTATCGACATTTTGGGGATTAGAAATTACGATTGGTGGGGATTGGAGATTGAGGAGATTGGGAATGCGAGTAATTGATGCCACCAGTAACCTAACTCACATGAGTGAATTGAAGTCAAAACGATATAAAAGTAACCATGATGTTCGAATGAAATGTTCGAATGTAACTATCCATGTTCTACGTGATCCTTGTCCATAAGATTCGTAAGAGCGACTTCACGTCAGCTTATACCCTCAGGAGATAGGGATAAAAATTGATTTTTTTAGTCACGTACAAAAAAAGGGCCCGAGGCATGATTTGTGGGGCCTTTCCTGTTTGCCCCTTATGGGGTTAGAACACTAAGCTGCTCTTTAATAAAATGGGCCGTCTTCATGTCCGGGCCCACAGTTTGGGTGATTACGAAACTGAAGACTTTATAACAATCTCAAGAAAGAAAGGATCTTTTTGTTAAAGGTCAAGAAACTTTGTAAACGAATTCTTCATGTTGAAGTTTATAGATAGACATTAGTGTTAAGCTAAAAATCTTTATCTTACGTTTTAAGCAAGAAGTCTTGTTGTGTTGTATTCACGTGAAAATACTTAGAAACGATCTACTAGTTTCACGAGTAACCGGTGATTTATAGTTAATTTAGTAAACTAGTCGACTTCCTCGTCAAACAGTTACGATAAAACATAATTATTAATTTAATATGTCTTACGATAGTTATTAGAACAACAAGAAGTGTTTTATTGCAGTCAAGCCTTCAAGAAAAGGCCGCCAACGCACTTGTGACTCCTCTGGTGTTGCGGGTGTCCATGGGCGGTGCTAATCGCTTACCATCAGGTGATCCGTATGCCCGTTTGCCTCCTATTCCATAAAAAAATATGAATTGCGTTCAAACTGTATGCGAACTGCTATTTGCAATCGGATTGCATTTGAAATGCGCTTCGCCAGTTTTGAGCCTTATTCACATTCATCTACATAAATAACGTCAAGGTCAAACAAGCTTCAGACAGCCTATTATGACAACCTAATAAAAAATTATGTGGATTCCGGTTCCGGCTGTCATCGGCATAAGACGTAACAAAGTTAGCTCCGTGAATATAAACATAAAAGTGTGAAAAAACCAATATTATCCGTAAACTGTGCAAGTGAAATAAACACTTATGACTAAAAGTGTATTATAAGTACTATAAAGTGTGTGATTACTTTGTGTTAAACAAAACAAGTGCAAAGAAAACTGTTTCAACTTAACCTACAAAGTATAAACAATCTTAATTGTCATTGTCAGTTGCTATTTTGACATTGACGTACGCCAAGGCTACCAACGTAAGACAACGTTTCGTTTCACGCATATCGACGATCGAGTGTTGCCACCTCATCTATAAACTACTACCAAACTAAATTAATGTTGCCAAGTCTATAATTATAAATCGGTCGAAATGGATGACCAAATGCAATTACTATTTTCAAATTTAAAATTAGAATTGGAAAAGCAAAACACAGCATTGAAAAAATCCATCAGAGAAGAAATAGATGAAACATTAAAACCATTAGTAGAAGAAAGTCAAATTTTAAAAATAGAAGTTATTAAATTAAAGGAAAAGATTAATCGCCTGGAATCTGAAAAAAGGGAGACCAATCTAATTTTCTATGGCTTCGAAGAATCAACAGAGACACATACCAACATCGTCAAAATGATATCAACTGCTCTAAATAAATCTGGGATTGAAATTGAAGATCGCGATATTAATAAAGCACTTCGAATTGGCAAACCAAGAGAAAAAGCACGTCCAATTTTGGTTAAGATGCTGAATGTATGGAAGAGAAATGAAATCTTAAAAAACAAGAAAAAGTTGCCTAAAAATATATACGTCAACGAAGACTTTAGTAAAGAAGTGCTAGAAAAGCGTAGAGAGCTCATGCCTCAGTTGAAAGAAGAGAGAAAAAAAGGTCACAAGGCTTTTTTGAAGCATGACAAACTGATCATAAAGGAAGACGAAAGTACATCCCGGGATAAACGCAAAAGAGAAAATTCAAATTCCCCTAATAACCCCACCGGAGAAAAAACACGACCAAAAATCAATAAAATAAATGCTTTCGAACATATGTACAGGAACAGATCCCACTCATCGTCAGAAATAAATACAAAATAGCAACTAGCAAACGTCAGCAACCGGAAGATCAAGAGTAATATGAACAAACAGCGAAAAGAAACAACAACAAAAAAAAAACCTCCCCCAAGCCGGCTGGTCCCCGTGGGGGAAAAAGACCACAACCCTCCAGCAAGCACAATAAACAAAAAAGACTCTAAGAACTATCTAAAAATTGGGACGTATAATGTCAGGTCACTATCAACAACACACCGCTACTTAGAACTCACCAACGCACTGAAAGATATAAATTGGGACATACTAGGACTCTCAGAAACAAGAAAAATGGGTTGCCACATTGAAGAATATTCAGAGCATGTTCTATGCTATATAGGAGAAACAAAGGGACTGTATGGAGTCGGATTTCTGATAAAAAAGGCATGGAAAAATAATATTACTAACTTTACTGGCATTTCGGAGCGAGTAGCATTACTACAAATGCAATTTGGCAGAGTAAACATTTCAATAATTCAGGCATACGCACCCACGGAAAGATCAAATGACACAGATATTGAAAATTTTTATAGTGATTTGAAAAAAGCCCACACACTAGCCGACGAAAAAGTCATAGTATTAGGAGATTTCAATGCAAAAATAGGACAACCCAAAAACGACGAAAAACTCGTCTTGGGACAGTATGGCCTAGGCCAAAGAAATGAAAGAGGTGAACAACTGCTAGAATATGCATTCGAATACGGATTAGCAATAATTAACACTTATTTTAAGAAAAGACCTAGCAGAAGATGGACTTGGAAGTCACCAGATGAAAGTGTTAAAAACGAAATCGATTACATCATGACAAACGTCCCTAAAATAGTGCAAAATTTTGAAGTTCTCAGCAACGTAAAGTTTCGAACAGACCACAGACTACTTAGAGAAACGGTCCTACTAAGTAAATCGAAAAAAAATAGAAAAGGCTTTAAACCACCGCCTAAAATCCCTAAAACAGAAGAGGAAACCAAGTACTACATAGATAGCCTCAGATTGAATATCGATAACAAACTAGTAGACACCAGTAACGTTCAATCTTACTATGATGTGCTGGAAGTAGCTATAGCCAAAAGTTTAACTAGCCAGAACAATCCAAAAAAAGAAAAACGGCATAATATAATTAGCGAAGAAACTTTAGCACTAATTAACAAACGCAGTGAACTAAGTAGAATTAAGAAGAAAGATGCTAATACAAAGAAAGAATTAAGCAAACTATTTAAGGAAACCAGCAGAGCGACCAAAGGGGACTATAGTAAACACAGACAAAAGATAATAACGGAAAATCTTAACAAATTCAGAAGTACCAAGAGAGCATTTAAAGAATTAAACTTAAAGAAACCCTGGATACAAAAACTAGAAGGACAACACAATAACACCCAAACAAGACTCGAAATTATACAACAGGCAACTGCTTTCTACCAAGATCTATACAGAAATAAAGACAAAACCATCGAAGAAGACAACGAAGCACATTTTTGCAATAACACAGAAACTATTAGGCCGATAGAAGAAAAATGTGTATATGACCAGTTGAAACAATTAAAATCAGACAAAAGTCCTGGTCCCGATGGAATATCTAATGAAGCATTGAAACTAGGTGCACCAGTCTTACTCAAACATCTCACAGACTTATTCAATCTCATATTAAAGACCGAAATCGTGCCCATTCAATGGTGCACTTCAGATATCATATTACTATACAAAAAAGGAAACCCTCATGATATTAACAACTATAGACCAATTAGCTTACTGGCAAATATATACAAAATCTTCTCATCTATAATTCTTAAGCGCATAACACAAGAGATTGAAAACTCACAACCAATTGAACAAGCTGGCTTTAGATCTGGGTTCAGTACTCTAGATCATATACAAGCACTGGGTCAAGTTATAGAAAAATACGAAGAGTTTAATAAACCTCTTTACCTGGGTTTTATCGACTACAGCAAAGCTTTTGACAGCATCAGCCACATCTCTATATGGAAATCACTAAGAAAACTAAACATAAATTCAAAATATATAAACATCATAAAATACATATACAACAACAGCACAAGTAAAGTTAAGCTAGAGTCAAGAGGTGAAGCAATTAATATAGAAAGAGGAGTTAGACAGGGGGACCCTCTGTCACCCAAATTATTTATTGCCGTTTTGGAAGATATATTCCAAAATATAGACTGGAGAACTAGAGGCATAAAAATAAACAACTCCTATCTTAGCCACCTCAGATTCGCGGACGACATAGTTATACTTTCTGAAACAGCAAGCGAACTGCAAGATATGCTATGCTCTCTTGATCAAGCAAGCTCAAAAATAGGATTAGAGATGAATGCTACAAAAACCAAAATTATGACAAACAGCATAGAACAGCCCATAAAGGTAAACGAAAAATCCATTGAATATGTCCACAATTACATCTACCTAGGCAAACAATTAACACTCTCGAAAACGCTTAATGAAAATGAAATTGAAAGAAGAACAAACATAGCATGGAAGAAATTTTGGTCACTCAAAGAAATACTTAAAGGAGATTATTCTATAAACCTGAAGAAAACGGTACTAGACACTTGTATATTGCCTTCCCTGCTGTATGGCTGCCAAACTTGGATATACACGGCAAAAACAAAACAAAAGATCACAACAACCCAAAGAGCTATGGAGAGAAGCGTCCTGAACATAAGGAAAATACATAAAGTCAGAAACCAAAAAATAAGACAAAAAACAAAGGTAACAGATGCCCTTACACAAGCACTAAAACTGAAATGGCAATGGGCAGGCCATGTATCAAGATACACAGACAACAGGTGGACAATCAAAACTACAAAGTGGAAAGGACCAGTCGGCAAAAGAAAGGCAGGAAGACCAAAAAGAAGATGGGCTGACGATATAACCGAACTTACTGGAAAGGACTGGTTAGCAATCGGCAGGGATAGAGATGAGTGGAAGGGGCTGGAGGAGGCCTTCACCCGAGGAGGGGTCCATACCCAATAACTAAGATAACCCTTACTAACACCTAGGTATAAGCAAAACTATTAACTTGTAAAATACTAACCAAGAAAATACCAACATTTGAACTGTAATTTAAGGTTATGGAAATAAAGGCTTTTTTATTTATTTATTTATAATAAAAAATCAACAGCTTATTACAATATTTGCATAAAAATGCCTTGACAGCCCTGATCTCGATATAATGAAAACAGGATTGTCAGAAAAAATTAAAGATGACTCGGCCTGCGTCGAAAGAATACTAATTTGTTCGGAAAACTTCGGCTAGCTTCGTGCCGCATCGTTCTTGGTAGCACAACACAAGTAATTATAACTTTTCCGGATGAAAATACGGACATGAAACTGTATTTGGCACTGTCTGCTTGAAGTTTCGGTATGAGATTGTATTTTTCTAGCTTCATAACATGAAGACTATGTCTTTTGTTCCTAATAGAAAGATATTTTTTATATTTTTACAATTTTATAATTCAACAACACTTTGCCTGCCTCCGGTATCAAACCTGAACCATTACCATAGCAACTGAGCTTATGACTACTAGTATCAAGAAGGCTAGAGAATCATTTGACGTTATTGTCAATGCAGAAATTTCAAAGTTATTCCTGTTTATATGTGAAGTTCTTAATGTTTACATAACATTACGCCTTTAATCCCGGAAGGGGTAGGCGGAGGTGCATATTACATCACTTAATGACAACGTTTACGTAATAGAAATCTGAAACATTTTTTGGAAAATTTTGTGCTAATTTCCTAAGTTGATCTTCTTTTAGATTGGAGTACTACTGTTATAGGCGTTTTTTGTCATACAGTTGTCCTTTAGTCCTCATTTTCGGGTTCCTTTGTGTTTAAAATAAAACTTTTTTACGTATCAAAATAAAATACTATTTTCATATGGTTATTTTTTGCATAAAATAGATACTAATAGTATCTACTGTCTCTTATAGTGTGTATTTTGTTGTATTTCGCTTCCTCTTTATTGTTTTAGCTGATATAAAATAGTGCCTAATTAATAGACCAATACCTGCAATGATTAAAGGCTCCTTATATTTTATTCCGCAACACTATTTTCGTAATTCAACCCTAATAACATTCAGCTAAACACTGATTGTCTACTAGTCAATACGAAGCGTAACGTGTAAACAGATAAACAACGCAATCGATGAGCCTAAACAAACAAGTCACATTTAGTAGCGACCATCCGCGATTTAGTCGCCATTCCACTGTTTAATGTTTAATGCTGGTACGGAAAACTAGACACAACTACCTCTTACCAAGTTATCTATTACAAACTGATCTTTATTATGAATAAGATTAGTTAGACATTCGATTAACCAGTATAGACTGCTTGCAATAAACATATATAATTCCTTACATAACATAACATCACGCCTTTTTATGCCCGAAGGGATAGGCAGTAACACCCACTTTCCACTATGTATGTTATGAGTCCCATGTAATAGAGGGTGAACCTATTGCGATATACCGGGCACATTGCAGACGCCGTGCTACTACTGAGATTTTATTTTAAATCCAGTTATAATTTGCGCGACCCGGGAATCGAACCCGAGACCCCTTGCCCAGCAGTCGCACTTGCAACCACTTAGCCCACGAGGCAGCATAAATCCTTAGGCCTAACAAATTGTTTAAGTAAGACAAACCAGTCACATACATTTTGACATAACAAATTCACTATTGTTCACCCTCTAGGCGTAAAAACAATATAATAAATGTCGGAAGTCCGTTGGATGCAAGTCATTTACTACTGGTGAATCTAAAAGTCATTAGGGGAGGCCTACGTTAAGGACGGTAAGTTAGATTACTTGAGCTCACCTAGGTAGGTATGTCAACAAAACATTTGCTTGATATAAGTACAAATACCTTAAAAATACTCAAAAGAATATTGAAGCTTCCAAATCGCTGATCAGCGATGTTGAAAGTAGCGTGTTTGCTACGGGCCTTAATCGAACCATGAGGTAACCCGAATTGCGTTGTGGTTGGGGGACAAACGTAGCCCGAAATTAAGACGGAGCCCCTAATGGGAGGCATGGGGGCCTTATTGTGATTTCAATTTATTTAATGTTCGTAACTCCGAGTGAAAGGGTACAAGATAAACTAAGTTGTAATTTTATTGTGTTGGGCTCTTGGTCTTAAATTAGACTGTAACCAATAGGGTAGATGCCTAATTCTTTTTTTAATGTCCGTCTGGTAGATTATTTTAAATCATTAGACACGTGTTTTTTATTTTCTTACAGAAACGAATACTTTCGACGATATATTGATTTGAAATGTCGCGTGACGTCACTTCTATGTACATTTTATACGTAGAAATGACGTTTTAACCTCCACTCCTAAACTTTGATTCGTTTTATCTAAGTACTGTTTTATTATACCACAAAATAAAAAAATACGTGTCTAATATTTTTTCATTACCTAACTGACGGACTAATTAGATTTTTAATTTTCATACCCTATCATCATCCAAATTCTGTTAGACAGGTGTAGATATAGAAATAGGTCTTAGTAATTGTAATGTTAATTATTTCTAGGTTAACCTATTATTATATAGCAATCAAACATAAAGCAAAAGACTTGAACATTAATCACCAAACTTGCTCAATGCACACGATTTTAAACTTACAATTAGAAATTATAAGGTCAGGTTGCCTCACGATGTTTTCCTTCATCGTTTGTCAGTGGTATCCAAATAATTTTAGAAAGTACATATAACTCGGAAAAAGTCACATTGGTACTGCCGATGGTAGGTTTCGAACTCGCACCCTCATGCATGAGAAGCGGGCGCCTTAAACCTCCGGGCCACCACGACACCACGATGTAGAGGACCATGTAATGAGAATACACATGAATATTGTTGCCTTTATGTGGCTATCCGATGGCAAGCCACCAGCTCCACCAATGAATAATAGACATACTCCGCAAAACCAGAACTATTACAATTGAGTTGCCAGTTGTTATAATAATATGTTAACATAACATAACTTCATGCCTTATATCCCCGAAGGGGTAAGCAAAGGTGCACATTACGGCACTTAATGCCGCTGTACAATGTAACACCCACTTTTCACCATTTAACTATGTTATAAGTCCCACGTAATAGGGGGTAAGCCTATTGCCATATACTGAGCACAGTTCCAGACTCCGTGCTACTACTAAGATTTTTGGATAAAACCAGTAATACTTTGCCCGACCCGGGAATCGAACCCAAGACCTCTTGCCCGGCAGTCGCACTTGCGACCACTCGGCCAACAAGGCAGTCTTAATAATATGTCAATTTCATGTATTTGTGAGTTTATACAATTAAGTGTGTGTTTTATAGACTTTATGAAACAAAATATATTTTGATTATTATTTTTTTCAACTTAAGTACTCGCGTAACTGTATGAAAAAACACGCGTAACTGTACAAATAAAGTAAATTATTCATTACAGTTCAAAAATATATCAGAAATAAGAGAGCTTTATCTATTCCTTCTCGCCTCTAAAATCGGAGGTGACGATGTAATATATCTTAATACAGAGAAAATGCTAATTCTCTGAAATGTAAATGGGTGCGTTTGTCTGTTTACAATGGTGTCTCACGTAATTTCCATGTGATTTCTATGCCAACATGGAAATAGGAAGGGAGGGTGGATTTGCTAATAATGCTATAAATTTTGTACAGATGTCGCTGTTTAAATCAGTGGATTGAGAAAACGACGCTTTAAACAACTTATTACAATTCATATAATTATTTGAGCTTAACAACATGGTTGGTATTCAGTAACTTAATCAGTTTAAGTCCATCATGTTTAAAAATAAAAATTTTGAGAACCTTTATGTATTTTACATGCTATTTACCATGGTCTATGTGTGAAGCGTATATATGAAATTAGTGTTTGGAAATGCAACCATGACAGATGAAATAGTTTAAGACCAGAATAAAACAATGATTTAAAAACATATCCATGTTTTTCTACCTCCTCAACAAACAATCATTTACAAAATTTCCTAATGGCATCGAGCATTTCTTTCTTTATTGAAACAAAGAGTTTCCTTTTCTTGTATAGAAGCACTATTTTTATGGATTATCAGTATGCATATGTGAGCACCATGTTAGACTATAAGATTTTTATTTTTTAAGTAATGTTTGTAATTAAGTACCTATAATGCGTCAAGCTTGTCTTTGCATTGTTCTCACATATACATACAGTATGGGAATATGTATCAGAGACATTGTAGAACGTACTTTTTTAAAAAAGAGTAAGGAATGGAGGTTTTTGCTCGTTCTTCTCCATTCGAATCTACATTTTGGAATGAGCACCTAGTTTCACCTAACTTGACTGACAGACTGACTGACAGACTATTATTTATTTTGTATTTGTTGACGTTTCAAAAGTACCAAATTATGGTTTAATTGAAATAAATGCTTTGACTTTGAAAAAACCAAATACTCCGTACAAAAATATTCTCACCGACAACAACAAAAGAACAGACACACTCATACTAACTACCACAAACAAAAATGCGAGCCTCACCAAAAAATGTGCCAGCCCTCATACCTATATTATTATACTTGGACAAAAAGGCCTAGAGGACCAAATAAAGCTGAGCAAAAGGACGAAAAGGAGTAAGTCAGTAAATGACAAAACACAAGTCACGATGGGTCGGCGTGGTATGTGGACAAGTGGAGCTAGCGAGGGTCCTAATAGGGGTTGTAGTTGAAAAAGTGAGACCGCCCCTAAGTTAGAGACAGGCAATATTGGGCGCGGAGTTATTTGGATGGTGGTATGCTGTATTATGCTGTATGAGTACTTTTAATACAATTTATTGTAATTATTTTTAACTGCCTTGTTGGCCGAGTGGTCGCAAGTGCGAGTGCCGGGCAAGGGGCCAAGCAAGAATTGCTGGGGTTGTTAAAAAGATTCAGTAGTAGCACATAGTCTGGAATTGTGCCTGGTATATGGCAATATGCTCACCCCCTATTACATGGG